AGTAGACAATGCTTATGAATTTCCTACCCCCTCTCTCCCACTTTCCCACCCCCAAGCCTAGGAATTTTAGCAGCAGATGCTTGTTATCTGGCCTTGTGGTGAACATGCCTAGTTGGATTTTTTTCTTTGTGCAAACAAAGACCTGTTTCTGGGGGCTGGTTAAACAATTGACTTTGATGTGGCTACCATGTAGGCATTTTATGGAAGAGAAGCAAAGAGAAACTTGAAAGTTACTGCTTGCTTATCTTGGTGGACTCAAAAAGGGAGCCCTGGGGGAATGGGTTTTGTATCTGAGGAGCGTGGGAATCAGTTTGACAATCAGTCATGGAGTCCTGAGCCCAGGAGCTGACGAGTGAGGAGGGTCGCGGTGGAGGAGTACGCTGGGTCCGGTCCAGCAGCTCAGTGGAGGTGCGGCTGTTCAGATCCAAGGTGTGGTTTCAGTGACAGCAGTTAGGCTTCTGGGTTCTTTGGGTGAATGATTTTGGAGGGATTTAATGGGAGGGTGTAGGTCTAGAGATGTAGCGGTGGGTAGCGTGTTTGCAGAGCACGCACTAAGTCCTAGGTTTATCCCAGTGCTGTGTGTAAGCATGGTGACACACACTTACAATTTTAGTGCTGAGGCCTACGCAGGAGCATCAGAAGTTGAAGGTGGCTGGTCCTTTACTACACAGTGAGTGCATCTGAGACCAGCCCGGGACACTCACTGTGCTGAGTCAGCTTCCACAGCATCTGTGGCCTTTGCTGCAGGATGGTTAGGGGTGGGGTGTCGCCAGGCAAGGAACCCATTGACACAGAAGAGAGGGGACATTGGCTCTAGGTGCACAACAGAGTCTGGGACTGGGTACACATGCTGTTTTATTTCAGGACTCAGTGGGAAGCTACTGGGCCAAAGGATATGAATATTTAACATTTCCCAAGGAAACAGTCAATCTGTTCATTTTATCCTTCTGTATATGAGGAAAAGGCAAGCAAGGGGAAGACACCCAGGACAATTCAAGGCCACAGGCCTCAATAGTTGTGATAAACAATGAAAAAAGAGAAACATGAGGGGAAGGTAAAAGACCACACTAACACTAATTGTCACCAGCTACTAAGGTCTCAGACCGAACCTTTCTCGTTTCTTAGACTCTTCCCTGTAATTAATTGGAGAGGAGAGTGTACAGAATGCGTTTTTAAAATGGGAAAATCAGTTTTTAACCTCACTTCTTAAAATTCAAGTTGGTTGTTTCTGGACCCTTCAGATGGTTTTCTTCCAGAACATTCTGGCTTCTCTGTAGCTGTTCAGCAGTTCTCTGCTATCCCTTCTTAGTCATCACATGACTAAGAGCCTTTCATCCAACACTGGCATGGTCCAACTCAAGGTATTTACTGGGGCTGTGGCTAAGGTAAGACTAACTAAGTTAGGGCTTTGGGGACCTACAAGTGAGGCCATACCTGGAAAGAGGCTCTCTGATATGCTTCAGCTCTGGTTACTTAAGTTTCAGTGGAAATGATACAGTTTTCCAGTTTATTCTAATTGAACAGTTTGTGTCTCCTTCTCAGTCCATTGATAATACACGATTTCCTTCACCAGGAATTCAACACACTATTATTGAATCATTTGGAAGTCAAAGGGAAATCCATAATGGTATCTTATTAGCTGTGGAAACTGAAATCATTGTCTAGTTTTCTTCTCCGTCAGCCGTTCATTGATGTCATCACCATCTACCCAGAAGTCTGCCTTGTTATTTCACAGCAGCCCTGAATCCTTCACTTTTATTTTCTGAGACAGGGTTTGAAGGGACTTCGGACAGCTCAAGCATGGTGAGCATGGCTCTGACAGGCTTGGCCCTTCTCCCCATTTCCTCTCTCTGCCTTGCTAGAAACTGTTAGATTACATCCCCAAAGGTCTAGTCCCTTATTTGGCCACTTCCTCCTGAGGCTGACGACCAAGGTCCAGCTAATAAAGTATTGACGTCCAGCAATCAGAAGTCCCCTTTGATTCACCTAATTAACATGACCAATTAAAATCAGGCACTTCATCCTAACACCGAGTTTCTGTTTTACCTTTATAAACTGCCGTTTTCCTATGTGGCATGTTCTTCTCTGTCTAGAGACAGTCTTTTCTCCCTCTGGGACAAATATCCCTGCCCTCTTTCCCTTGTCCCCTTCCCCTTCCTCCTCACCCCCCTCCTTTCCCATGGCATCCAGCCCATTTTAACACAGACCTCCCCTTTTTCTCTTCTTAACAATTACACCTACAAGGTCATCTGCCGCTGCTTTTCCTCCTGAGTCAGGAAGCAGCTGCTTGAACTTCTCTTCCCCTCTTCCTTAATAAAGACTCTCTCTGTGAAAACAGGTGTTTGAGTGTGGTTCGTGTCTAATCTGGGGGTCTGGGAGGAAGTCCCCACTGTGCAGGGGTCCCCTTTAGGGTTCATTCTATAGCTCAGGCTGGCCTAGACTATGCTTCCTGAGTGCTGGAATTACAGGCATGTGCTGTAGTGCATGGCTTTGATGTGTTTAAAATAACTACTTTTGGTTGGTTGGTTTTGGGAATTGAAATCAGGGTCTTCTACGTGATCACTTTACCAGGAGCTACAACCACTGTCATTAATCTTCTGTTTCAGAGAATATAAGAAGTACCGGGGGTTGAACCTTGGGACTTCTGGATACTGAACAAACACTTTCATTCTTTGTATTATAGCCAGGTGTGGGGGCACACACTTTTAATGCCAGTACTGGGGAGGCAGAGGCAGGAGGATCTCTGGGTTCAAGGCTAGCCTGGTCTACAAAGTGAGTTCCAGGATAGCCAGGACTACAGAGAGAAACCCTGTCTCAAAAACAAAATAAAAAACAAACAAACAAACAAAAAAAACCAGTCAGCTCTTGTGGCACAGGCTGGTAGGATTTTCTGAAGGAGCCAGAGGCAGGAGGATCTGGAGGAGGACAGCCTGGGATAAGCATTTTAAAAAACAAAACAAAGCAAACAAAAAGTTTCTACATTGTGCCAGGCATCAGATCTCTTCTGTTCTAACAGCAATTTACGTCTAGAACTTACATCATTCTTACATCATTTTTTTTTCTTTCTTTCCCCATCACCCAGATCAAGCCAGCTCCATCATCTTAAGTAGTTTCCCCACCTCTGGTCTTGAAAAGCACCTCAGCTTGAGATTCCCTCTTCTCCTTATCTCCCGTTTGCAAATGCCAACTGCTTGCAGCTCAGGGCCTGGAGTTGAGGGAGGAGCCTGCCTGCCATGGTACACCTAGTGTCAGCACACTCCATTGAGCCTGGAGGCTGTCAGCACAGATGCTCTCCTGCTGTTCTGCTCACCCATCATCTGCTCCAACCACGTAATGAGCTCCTACCATGTGCATGGCAGAGAACAGGCCATATCTCACCATTCTCATAAACGCTGCTACCTCTGACCATGTGCACATTACTTAATGGCTTTGTTGAGACAGGGGCTTTCCAGGTAGCAGAAGCTGGCTTGACCTTGCAGTCCTCCCATGACAGCCCTTTGAGTGCTGGGATTACAGGTGCTAGCCACAACACGTGGCCTGATGCACACTTTTATGCTTTTATGAAAAATTCTTATAAATTTAGGCAAAGATGCCGCCAACTTCCTTTGTAACTTGAGGTACTTTTTGTGTTACTTAGGAAACACCTTTCACTTCTAAACTCCGATTGAACTCTTCCACAGAGCATTTTTTTCTAGAAAACTCAGGCTAGAAATAAGTTTGTGAGTTCAAATCCTAAGAGCTGGGCAACTTAGCTAACTGTGATGTTTCAGTTTTTTTTTCACTTGCATAATGAAAATAGCAAGAGGCTTTAATTCTAGAGTGTTGGAAAGATTGGAGATTCTAGAACAATTAAACATAGAAAGTGATACCTCAGTACTTAGCAGGTTTACAAAGGCTATAGTTATTTTACATTCTTATTTATTTAGTTATTGGGTCAAGGCCTCATTCTCTCACCCAGTGTGAGCTAGAATGTAGTCTGTAATCTAGACAGGCATCAGATTTGTGGCAAACCTTCTGCTGTGATTTCCTGCTAGGATTACGGCTATGAGCCACCATGCCTGGTTTGTTGATCTTTGGAATTAATTCTCTCCCTCACCCCCAGTGTGTGTGTGTGTGTGTGTGTGTGTGTGTGTGTGTGTGTGTGTGTGTGTGTGATTGTGTACATGTGCATGTGAGGCCAGAGGGTGAGACTGTGAAAAACTATGGGGACTTTTGAAGTTGGGCTAAGTGCATTTTACGTTATGATGTGGCCACATGTCTATGGGGGCTAAGGAATGAAATGTATTGGTTTGAATGAGAATGTTCTCTATAGGCTCATATGTATGAATACTTGTTTGCCAGTTGTTGGAACTATTTGGGAAAGATTAGGACGTGAATAGCTTTGTTGGAGGAGGTGTGTCTACAGAGAGCAGACTCTGAGGATTCCAAGGATTTGTGCTATTTTGAGTTAGCCCTTTCTGCTCCCTAGTTGTGGGTCAAGATGAAGGCTCTCGTCTCCCCTGGCCAACATGCCTTTGCTCCAACATTATAAATCTCAACCCTCTGAAGCCATAAGCCCAATTAAGTGCTATTCTTTATAAGTCACCTTGGCTATGGTATCTCATCACAGCAATAGAAAAATAACTGCCTTGGTAAACGTTTTATTGCTGAGAAGAGACACCATGACCACACAAATATTGAAAGAAAGAACTTAATTGGAGCTTGCTTACAGTTTCAGAGGTTTAGTCCATTGTCGTCATGATGGGAACATGGTGGTGTTCAGGCAGACATGGATCTGGAGAAGGAACTGAGAGTTCTACATCAGGATCCACACAGGCAGCAGGAAGAGTAAGAGACACTAGGCTTGGCTTGGGCTTTTCAAACCTCAAAGACCATCCCTAGTGGCACACATCTTTCAACAAGGCCACACTTCTCATTGCTTCTCAAGTAGTACTACTCCCTGTTGACCAAACATTCAAATATATGAGTTTATAGTGGCCATTCTTTTTCTTTTTCTGAACACGTGCTCCTTAACTCCACAAAGCAACAGCAAAATGGCACAAGTCAGCTGTGCAGCAAGGAGCCAGAATTCTTGCGCTACAGTGTAGCCTAGAATGGGGGCATTCCCTTCCCTATATTTCAATATGGTGCTGTGTGGTGGCCATTCTTATTCAAATCACCACAGCAACTAATGCATCTTAATCGCAGGAGTTGTTCCTGAGGCACTGCCCCCTTTTATTTGAGATAAGACCTCTCACTGGCCTGGAAGTTTCCAAGACACACTGGCACCCAGAGAGCCTCTCCTGATCCCCAGTACTGAAATGACAGGTGTGTGCCACCACACCCAGCCTTTTTTTTTTTGTTTTGTTTTGCCACCAATTCTGTTCCGGGGAATCAAACCAAAGTCCTGGAGCTTAGAGGGCAAGCACTTTGCTGAAGGAGTTATCTCCTTGGTTCCTGCAATCAGGTCTGGAATTTGTTTCTGTTTATGGTATAAGTTATGAATCCAATTATATGTTACTTTTTTACATCAAAAGACAGTCCATGCTGACCTGCTATAAATCTTGCCACAGCTTCTCTCTGCCTCCAGACTGACTCTTTGCCATTTACTTTTCACCATGGCTCTGACTTCTGCCCATCTTCTAGATTTTTTAAAACAATTCTATTATCATAGTTCCTTTGAGATCCCAAACACACCAGCCCCTTTTTCTCCTTTGTGTTTCTATACTTTCAGTGTTTTGCTGCTTCTCTTTTAGGGATCTGTCTTATGTAATTGGAGGATCCCCTTAACCAACTGACAGGACACACACCATTCTTTGATTCGGGTCATTTTCTTGTTTTACTTCTCTCACTTAGCATCTGAAATATGATGAATCACCCTTATTTCCCCAATCAGACATGGGCATTGTTGAACAGAACTGTCTTCTATTTGTATACAGATTGTATTTGCTGATAAGGAAAGGTATACAGATTTTTTTTTCTTAAAAAGATTGACAATATGGGCGGACTGTGTTCTCCTCCTCTTAGATGGCAGCCCTGTATTTCCATTTACTAAACATTTAGTGTGCTGTATGTCAGGATGTCTGGAGCCACCTCTGGTTCTGTGTCTGGAACTACATCTGGAAAACAGTAGGGCCTCCATAATGACCTTACTGAGTGGTCTGTCTTTTCTCTCTCTCTCCCTCCTCCCCTCTCTCTCCCTCCCTCCCCCCCCCTCTCCTGACGTAAGCAGGCCGGCTTTTTTGGAGAATTCTGGTGACACTACGGAAGGCTATCTGGAGTATTCTAGAGAGCCATAGGTTGGGGCTGGACCAGTGAGGGGGACATCGGGGACCTGGCAGGAGGGCCCGGCACCAGCTGGTGTTGAAGGCAGGGAAGACCCGGGTTTGTGTAGCTGGCTTGGAGCCCTGGCATTGGCATCAGCAGTGTTCCTTCCACACCTGGATTGCTCCTTTGCTGGCTAACCCTCGTGGTCTCGCATGAAGTCTAACCTGCTCACAGAGGCCTTTGGACACCCATATCTACTGTGGGCATGGGATACTGAAACCCTGGGAATTTAAACATGCATGCCAAGTATTTAAAGGTAGGCTCCAAGGCCATGAGGATATGCGCTGCAGTGAGCCGGCTAGCCTTCGGTGGCAGCTTCATTGCCATGCAGCATAGATAAAAGTGGCTTTTCTGAGGTTTCTCTTTTCTTCTTTTCTTCTCCTACTTTGATATTATGAGGCTTTATTGTTTCTTTTCTTCCCCTGGGCCTGGGCATGGAAAAGCTGCCTGTTTGGATCTCTTGTCTGTGTGCCTGCTCTATCAGGTGGCAGCTTATTTCTGTCAGATGCTCATCCCTCCCCACGCCACTGGTACTGTTTGGGCTGGTCTAACTTGGAGAACATCTCTGCCTTGGTCCCCTGCCATTTCTTCAGAGATTCGGAGCCACCAAGCAGCTTTTAGGATGGGGAATATCCTAGGCACAAAATCCCAAGGCTTTATAGACACCAGACCAAGGCAGGCTCACTAAACCGTGGAGCAGAGAAAAGTGGGAGAATTTCAGACAGCTCAAACACTAGTTTAGCACTTTTGGAGTGCAACAAAAGTGCAGTATATGTTATTGGGGAAACTTCAATCTAAAATGCGTCCCAAAGGGCTAATGGGACAGCTGAGAAAGACGCTGCTGCTCCAGAATGACATTTTGAGGTGACATTGGGACATACAGATGGAGATGACTTGGGGACAGATGTGACACCTGGTCCACAGTTGGCTCCACACATCCTAAGTTCAGCCTTAAGATTCTGATTAATAATCCTCCAGGATGATGAACAAAGGAATCACCCAGGTCTGAATAAATGCAGAATCAGAGCCAATCATATGTGGAGATGTCAAGTACATCAGTGAGTTATCTATTTTTAAAAAATGACAGTATGAATGGAATGTGTTCCACTGACTTTAATTAGGTGTCAGAATTCTCTTTCCCTTTGTTAAATGCCTACTTTGTGTGGGAATTGACAGGCCACTTCTGGTGGACCTGCAGTCTGCCCTGTCCCCTAGGTCACATAACTCAGATCAAATTTCTGAGGTTGAGACTCCAGTTCCCCCAGAGGTCCAGGTGGGTTCTGGGAGTTAGGGATTCAAAAACAGCTTTCCTCAGCTCTGAGATTCACAGGTAGAATGGCCTTGGGCCTACAGGGTTAAGGAAACCTCACTGTTTCACCTTTTGGTCCTGGGGCCAGTCTTGATCAGTAAAAGAAAGTCAAGCATCACACTGAATGAAGGCCCAGGCTCCAAGCCTCCCTTCTTCAGACAAGCTGTTTCTTCTCGGCCTGGCCCAGTGGGCAATGCCACCTTAAACTGCTCAGGCTTCCTGTGAAGTTTATTAGCAATTGCAAAACACAGGTGCTATGCTCACTATCTCACTTATTCCCCAAGATAAAGGTCTCACTGGGCTCTACTCCTATTTCTGGAGTCCGCTGGAGCTGGACTCAAACACTGCTGCTTTTCCTGCAGAAATCTCTTTGATCATCAGGCACAGTCAGTCTCCTTCTGGCTATGGTGGCCACTGATTGAGCACCTTCACACCTGGTGTGTACTAAGAGCACATAAAGTAGCCATTTTTGACCTTTCCAAATATCAAGTGAATTTTCACAAGCTTTTATATAAAACTGACCTTTATTACAATTTTAAAAAGAACAAAGACAAGTTGATAAGTGCCCTTAATTACAACGTACCTGTTATTTACAAGTAATTATACTTTTAATATACAACTTGAATAAGGTTCATTACATGTAAACTAGAAGACATCACAAGTTAAACTCCAGCCTTTATGACTACTCAGAATCGACATATTACCATCAGAGACAGAAGACAAACACCCGTGTCAGTTCCTTAGATACCATGACTGAATGGAAACTTGGGATCTGGCCATAGAAGAGGAGTAGAAATATGCCTTGAATTGAAACATGACAAAAGTATTGCTATTAGCTAATTCTAAATACAATGAACTGGATCATTAAAAATGATGCAACCTTAATCTATAGCACCTTTCAAGGAGGTCGAAGCATTCATACTCATCTACATCATCTTACTTGTCCTCAAAGCATCCCTATGAGGTAGGCAATGGTTGATTATCATTATCCCCATTTTGTAATATGGAGAAACTGAGGCACAGAGAAGTTCAATCATTTGCTTGAAGTCACATAGTCAAGTTGGTGATGGAACAGGGACCACAGCCCTATACTCTTGTCTCCAAAACCAATAATTCTCTTTAGACTAAACTGGAGGATTTAATTCAATACATTAATTCACTTTTCCAAGACATTTTAAAAATGTGCTCCCCCATACAAATTGTTGAAACACTGCAGGCAGGAACCAACACCCTGGGGTGATGGCAGACCGATGCAATATTCTACTGGAAAGGCTATGGGAGTTTTGTTATTTTATTCCAGGAGTTGATCTTCCTAGCTGAAACAGAGTCCTTAGAAAAAATACACTTGAAAGGCTGCTTCTCCTGGCTTACAGACTACATCTTTCATGACCACACTACGTTCTCCATGAACTTGGTTTACTCTTGAGTTGCAAAGAAAATATCTAAAGAACAAGTTTAATATTTGAGTTAATTGTCCTCATTTATACACATTTACTGTTTACACTTTAAGACAGGGGTTCTCAACCTGTGGGTCATGACCCCTTTGGGGTTGCGTACCAGATATTCTGCAGATATTTATATTACAATTCATAATAGTAGCAAAGTTAGTTATGAAGTGGCAACAAAATACCTTTATGGTTGGGGGTCACCCCAACATGTGGAACTGTATTAAAGGGTTGCAGCATCAGGAAGGTTGGGAACTATTGCCTTAAGAGATTCCAAGACAGGATAACGTATTTTTGAGAGATGAACATAATCAGGAAGCCACTCACAACACTTAGGTCAAATGTTATTTTTTTAATTCCCTTTGGGGTCAAATGTGTATTTGATACTTAAAAAAAAAGTCCTAAAAAGACATGGGTCAGAGCCCCAGACTTAACACTGCAGGCATTTCATATAGCATCTTCACTAGATAAACACTGCGAATGATTTCTCAATCCTCCTGGGGAGTTGGCAGCCCTCTAAAGTAGCATGGAGGAACTGATATTCTAGACCGGCTTCAGGAAAAAAAAAAGAGCAACAGAAACACTTATGACAGAAAGTGCTTGAATGAGAAATACAAACCGTACTTATGATAGTGTATTTATCAGGTTTGATTTCAAACTCCCCCAGAAAACACAAGGCATGTAAAGCAACACGATTGTTAAACAGCTGACAACATAACGTTTTCCTATGCCAGGTTAACACAGAAGTCTAATGAGGGACAGTCACCAACCTTTATAACACATATAAGATGACTTGAGATAACCAGAATATTTTATTTAGAAACAGGATGGCATTGAACTCAAGATCTTCCTGTCCACTCTCCAAAGTTATAGGATTACAGGCATGAGCTACTATGCCCAGCTCCTACATCTTAAAACAAAACCCACAGAATATCAGTGACAATCCTTGGGAAAAGTCTATATTAGAATAAATGAAAATTAAATGGAATGATCTTTACTATTACATTTTAAACAAGATTATGCTTCCAATTTCATCTGATATTAAGAATCTGAGCAAGTATTTCCAGTTAAGTTAAAAAGCTTGAAAAAATACAATAAAATACAAATATTTAGAGATAAGATGTAAAAAATAAAAAGGCTTGAAAATGAGCAAAAATAGGATTTAAAAAACCATACAGATGTTCTTTCTCGTCAGGACCATAATTTTTAACATTTTATTTCCTAATTCCAGATAAAAATAATAATTTTCCTGTGTTCTGTGCTGATTTCGTTAAGTGAAGTTCTTGCAGCACAGTGTTTTCAGCTTGATGCCCTGTCAGGAATAATGCCCTGAAGAACAGACACAGGTCCCAGCAAGGAAGGAGGATGCAGACGATAATGTGAATAAACCCACGTTTGATTCTGTCCACACAAGTTACTATTGTCACATCAGCCACTCAGTAACACCAACCGTTACACTTTCAGTGTCCCCTTGGCACAGTATAATACACCTGTCAGGGTTTCCAGGAAATAACCCTCAATACAGACTGTGACTCCAGCAGCCAGCTCTAAGCAGTCTGTGTGCCAGAGACCAACACTTTCAGAAGAATGGTACCCCAGATCACAGGGATTCCTATCCACCATAGCAAGGAGCACCAGGATCAGTGTCATTTACCCATTGACAAAATCCTGCTTCAGTCTGGAATCGGCCACTGCATTGTCACAAGACAGGCTTTGTACATCCATTTTCCAGTATCCACTGGTCCTGCTGCAAGTGCTTGGGTTTTAACAAGGAATAAAACAGATCCCTCCATGTGATAACTGGTTTCAGTTACCTGGTAGGCCACCTTGCCTGCCAGCCAGGCTCCGGGTTCCTCTTTTGTTGCTTTTGGCTTACTCTCTTCCTTGACACACACTGAGTAGTACACCTGTTTCCATTCCTTGTCTCAGACTGAATATGTACCGTGTCTTGAGTATAACAAAGGCATCTTCAGACAGCATTGTTTTTCAACTGGGAGAATTATGAACGCAATTTAAAATCTGAATGTATTCATTGGGGAAACTAAATGAAAGCAGCTCAGGAAGGCATCCCATAATTACAAAATGTAACTGATGGAGAATGGTTTAATTCTGCTGTTATGACACAAGTTCATCATACTAGTGGGATAAACTTTTCAAATATACGATAGAACACAGCCTAATTAGTATCAGGACTGTGCCAGCAACACACAATACCTACATATGTACATACATACATACATACATACATACATACATACATACATATAGTTTACCACTAGTGAAGACAGGGAATGTTCTAATCATACAGGTGAAAATCAAGTAAGAGCAGCACCCTGGCATACTGGGTGAGATTTTAGTTCTGTGTTGAAGGTCTATTGTTTTTTTAGCATTTAATTAGAATTTATTGTGGGAGAATCCAATTCTGTTGAATTTACCGTAGAACAATCATGAATCGTTTTATCACAAAGGTTATTGATATTATTTATAAGTTTTACAGATTTAATGACATGATTTACATAAGGACAAGTCAAAACTATGCACCCAGCATGTTTATAAAAATGACTTTCTTTTAAATTTCTTGAACATTTCACATAAAACAGTCTATGCTTTTCTTGTGATTTACATTTGGGAAGTATGTAAAGGAACATTAAATGCTTTCAGACTTTCAAAGGTATTTAAGGAAAAGGAAACAACTACTTCTAATCTAGATAGAATTATAATTCTGACTTAAAGGGAAAAACCTTATGACTTATTTTTCTCTTTGTGGATGATTCCACCTGAGCTGGGTATGACGGGATGCACACTGTGGATACCAGTGGTGAATGTTTCTGTATACGGTGAAGTCTGCTTTGATTATTCCTTTCATACACTTAAACTCTGTAACATTTAACAAACCACAGGCTCTGTCCAGCTCAGACAGATTCTGAACTAAGTAAATGAGTAAAAAGTTATAACAAAACAAAATAAAATGAAAAAACCCTAGATAATCAAGTCAAACAATGACGACACACCAATAAATGCACAATAATTATGCACCTGAAGCTAAACTGAGCGAGCTGGTTCCCTTGCCCGCCCTTCCCCCAGTCCTCACAAGCTGCTGCTTATTCTTGTGGAATTTGTGTCGGAGGGCCTTCCAGTTCCTTGTAAAGTACTCAAGATATCATCTGTCACAACTTGTTCACTGGTTCTCAGACCAGGAGAGCGATTTCAGTGCATATTTCATGACTATGTTGCATACTATATTTGAAAACTCTGAGGACATTCTGACAACAAGGTTTCAAGTTGACATGATTATTTATAATAACTTGTCTCTAAAGAAAGAGTTTTATACTCCCGCACTCATACCAGCTTCCCTGCTAAGTTAAAACTTTTTATAAAACATAGTCAAAACTTCTGAGCTGTAAAGTGCCTGTGAAGTACGGCACTGTGGCACGCACAAGGCTGGGGATGCCGTGTCATGGGTAGCACCACGTGCTAAGGGACCCCTGTGACCTGAGTGGCGCTTGGGTCAAACTCATCCACACAGAGCGGGGTTTGCTGGAGATCCTTACCCTCTGCTGCTCCGGGGGCCAGGGGTACCCTCCTTGTCACCTTCTGATGGGCAGTGGCTATGCTTATCCACGTGGCATCTTCATAGGTGGACTGGGTTGACTGACACCACCTTAGAGAGTTGAGTTCACAGTTCCACAAGCATGGTACACACCAGCGACAAAACCAGTTCATGAATACAGGGATGGAAACACAGGCCACAGCTGACTGGTCACTTCATCCTCCCAGTCACACTCTTTGTCACAGGGAGGGAAAACAGCATGGGTATTAAGTCATTAGAATCAGATGTCACGGCAGGAGGGGTTGCGGCCTCTCTCTTTGTCTGAATCAGTGAAAAGTGAACATGGTTTCCAATGTTGGCCTTGGAAGATTTAGAGAGACGATTAAATTCAAACCAGGCTGAACTTGTAATTTGAGCTACTCCAGCCACTGACTTTTGTTATATGAAGGAAAATAGTCTGACAGGCAATTTGTATTAACAAGTGCCGATGTCTTAAAGATGCCATTGGACTTTAATGCAAATCTGCTACTTTCAGGGAGTTCAAAATTCCTAAGTCAGATTTTGTTCTGTTTCAGTAGTGTCCATCACAACCCCTTGACACAATTATTCATGCCTATTGCATTTTTGCCACTGGCAGTCTGAGTGTTTGGGATTTGGAGTCCCCAGTACCTTTTAGAGAGCTGAGTCTTTACAAATCTTCAATGTTACATTACTTGTTAGAGAAAGAAAAAAAAAGAATGCTCATAATTATCTAGCTTATGTGCTTTATGGTGTCTTTTCAAATTGAGAGTATAAATCATTGTACATAAAATCAAAATAGTTAATATATAATTTCTGGTGTTTTCTAGAAATTAGGCATGAAACATAAAACATCTTATAAATTCATATAATAAAATAAATGTTTACATTTTACTCTTAGATTACCAACGGATAACAGAAAAGTCAGACATGTGGGCAGCAGAGATCACTGAAAACACAAATTCATGTCCGAAGCCCTTTGGGGATAGACGCCATGGCTGCCATCCACATGTGTGGCCCGGGTCCCAACTTAAACGTTAAGGCTCTGTTTGGAAGGAAGAGCGCTGGGTTTAAACAACTTTAGAAGTACCATAGTAGTCAAGGGAATTCAAAAAAGGTGTTGACAAATTTCTGAACGCTGTGGGGGAAGGTTTTGAACAGAAAGATATAAAAAGTGTCTAGAGTACCTCAAGTACCTTGTGAAAAGACTGCAGATGTGGTGTGAAAATTAGGAGCAAACACCCCCAGAGACTCCAGAAGACACCCCAACCCAGACCAAGTAGCCTGCACTTTCCACATTCCCAGGGACAGACACCGCAGGTCTGGGAAGGGGACGGTCTAATGGAAACCAGTGTGGGTTTCTCACCATCATGGTATCTAGCTGAACTAGCGCCGAGCCCGTGGGAGACAGTCCTTGGAATGAACCACAGACATGGGGAGGTCTGGCGTGGTGAAATACCGGGTATTTTAACACTGGTAGCAGACAAAGAAATGGTGAGGAAGAAAACCCTGGCTGGTCACCGCTGCGGTGGGATTCTAGGCGGACGGATGGAATTTCAACATTGGTGGATAGAGCGCCCCCTCACAGCCTGCCTGCCTTGTGGCATTTGGTGGTCACATGTACCAGGGGTTTCCTGTGAGTATGGGGTCCCGCCCTGACAGGTGAGTCCATACCTTACTGTTTCAGAAACTGGGGAACAGCTGTGAACTTGTACTTGACTTCAGTTAACTGAAGCAGCCTGAGATGGATGTCTTCTTATCCCAGGCGGAGCTGTCCCCTGATGCGCGAGGCTCTTCGGGACTACTTTCTGGGCTGCTAGAGCCTGGTGATATTTCTGCATTGCTGCAAGTCCCCAATGCTCTCGTAGTCATTCTCCTTGGGGACAAGGTGGCCATTGGTCTCCAGGGGGACCTTCTCTTCCTCTCTGTTTAGAGTCTGTATGGCTTCGTAGTCAGGCTCGGGTTGCTCACTCGATCTCCTTGCTGGGGGGAGTGTGCTGATGTTGTTGGGAGATTTGTCGAAGTCTTTCACAGTGGCATAGAGGTCATTACAGGAAGAGGGTGACCTCTGAGGGGATCCCTGCATGGAGGGGCAGGCAAACTCTGGTCCTTTCGGAGATGGTCCAGGCTTGTGTGCTGACTGTCCGGGTTTATTCACTGAGGAATACATCGCTGAGATCTAGGGAACAAGGAGAAATGAACACGCCGCCTGCAGGCTGATTCCTTCATCCCCTCCTTGGTGATAGGCTTTGTAACTGGCACTCATGAACACTCCCTGCCCAAGAATTATTGATGACAAAGGTGCTATCATTTAATGTCATCAATGTCTAATATTTTACCAGAGAATTATCAAACTATCCTCTTTTCTAGAGATCAGTCATATTTGATTAACTCTATAAACCCAGTTTTGTGGGTTTCTCACAGGACCAGACGGAGCTACTGTGTGGCTAGTAGGGAGGCCAAAGAATGTGGAGTACATGGCCAGTGAGGGGTGCTCAGAGATGCAGGTGTGAGAATGAAGGCTGGGACGCCCCTGAAGGGCCAAGGCAATTCGCCGCTCCCGGGAAAGGGAGGCAGCCAGAATCAAAGATGACCCTAGGTTTTGCCTTGTGTAGCTGGGGAGAGAGAGAGAGATTAAAGTTTCCCTTCCTTAGGAAAAGGAACTTGCAGGGGCTTAGGCAGCATCATCTGAAGAAAGCATGCCTTGAACTCTGACCTTCCTCTTCCAGCCCTCACTCAAGAGCTCCCTGCCTATCCGTGTGGTCTCCACACGGACAAAGTTCCCACACGGGGCATTGCACTCCAATCATGCACAAATAGAGGAGGGAGGGTATCTGGTGCTCTGTCTGAACCTAGTTCGATGTGTGTCAGAATCCTGGCTATTACATTTGAAGGCACTACTAAAAGTCGCCTCAATTTTTATCCTGGTTCGCGGGAAATCACCATCTGTTTTCACTGGTTGCTTCGAGTGATGCTGTCTTAGTCTGATTCATCTTTCCTGAAGCGACCAGCATCCAACATTCCTCATGGACATTTCCCCATCTTTCAGGCAGGATCAGATTCCCTACTCCTACTCATCCCAACTTTGGGAATTTTCCAGCCCGACACCGATTTCCTTCTATGGTGGACTCTCAGCTGTTGACTAAAACTCCCTCTTCTTTTGCTGACCCTAGCTCTTCCTTCTCTTCATGCCTGTGCAACCCTTCCTGCTGCCTAGAGTCCTTCAGTCTGCTAACCCACTCACCCTGCCATTCTCATGGCTCACCACCTATCATGTACCTTCCCAACATGAGAAACCAGCATCTCAACCTGGACACCCAAGCAGAGGCCTGGGAGCTTGTCTGTTCTTTCGGACAAAGGAAGCAACCAGCGTACATGCGTTCTTGGGAAGAAGCACCATTTTGGCACTATTTGCGGTGGTGGTGGGAGGGTCTTGTTATGCGGTCCAGGCTTGCACTGAACTAAACATCTGCCAGCCTCAGCTTCCCGAGCGCTGAGACTATGTGTGTGAACAACCTTGACTGTGCAGGCATGTGTGTGTGTGTGTGTGTGTGTGTGTGTGAGTAACCATGATTGTGTAGGTGTGTGTGTGTGTGTGAACAACCATGACAGTGCAGGTGTGTGTGTGTGTGTGTGAACAGCCATGACTGTACAGGAGTGTGTGTGTGTGTATGTGTAAAACCATGACTGTGTAGGTGTGTGTGTGTAAAATCATGACTGCAGATTTTTTTTTTCAACTTGATATAAGCGAGAGTCATCTGAGAGGTAGGAACCCCAAATGAAAAGAAGGCCTCTATAAGATCGGCCTGTAGACAAACCTGTGGGGCACTTTTGAAATTAATGATTAGTGAGAGAGCCCAGCCCAGCCCACCGTGGGTGGTACCACCTCTAGGCAGGTGACACTGGATTGTAGACGAAAGCACGCTATGAGGAGCAAGTCAGTACATTGCCCCATGGCCCCTGCTTCAGGTCCTGCTTTTAAGTTCCTGCCCTAACTTCCCTCAGTGATGGACAGTGACCTGAGATTTGTAAGGTGAAATAAACCCTTTCCTCTCCAAATTGCTTATGGTTACAGTGTTTTAGCGCAGAAACAGAAGCCCTAACTAAGACAACACTCCATGAGAGTGTGTGTGTGTATGTGTGTGTGTATGTGTGTGTGTGTGTGTGTGTGTGTGTGAGAGAGAGAGAGAGAGAGAGAGAGAGAGAGAGAGAGAACACATCTCATGTAGCCCAGGCTAGCTTAATACAGCTGAGCTGGCCTTGAATTCCTGATCTTCTTGTCTCCTCCGCCTCCCATATGCCATGGCGGTAGCTGTCTGCAACCATATTGGATTTATGATATCTGGGGTTATGGACTAAAGTTCCTTTTTTGGTAAGTTTTATTTAAAAATTGTGCAAGCAAGTACATGTGTTAGTGTAGGTGCCTGTGACTGCCAGAGGCATTGGGGGGCACTGGACCCCTTGGAGCTGGTGAGACAGGGGTGGGGTGAGCTGCCCAGCCTGGGTTGCCGTAACTGAACTCCTCGGCAAGAGCAGTGCATGCTCTTAGCTGCCAAACCATCTCTCCAGCCCCCTGGTGTCTCTATTTTTAAAAGACGTTTTTTAGTTATTGGAAAAGAATTGAAGTTTACCTCCTCTTCTGTAAGAGTTGGGTCTTCTTCCCGAGACTTGTATGACAAGGAACTAAATCTCTGTAAAAAATGCAAATCAAAGTAAAGCAGTTTGAAGCCGATAGTTTAACCTTTCTAGGCATATACACCCAGGTCTATACCAATGTGTTCAGGTGATCTCTACAGACCACAGGCAGGCCATTATGTGTCCCTTGCATCAGCTGTGTGCACATTAAAGGCTACCCAGCCACACTGTGCTATACAGAGGTCTTCTAATACTTCTGTATACAGGTGGAAATAAGCCAGTGATTTTGGAAACCATCGTTTTGGTTCCGAATCACCACTGAGGGAGGACTGACGGTGGCGGGGGAGGGTGACAGTTAAGTGGGCCCTCTATCCAACATGCCAGCCCGTCACATCTGAGAGCCTGCTGGTGTCACCAGGAAGAACACCCACCGATCTCATAACCTCCCCTCCTGCCTGTTCCTCAGTGATTTTCATCCTGGTTCTTCTACTACTTAGGCTCTGGCTTGTTAACTCATTCTAATACACTTCTTATTTCAATTCTTGATTCCAATGAAAGTCAGACACATCCCAACTCTCCCCCTCCACACTGACAGCCTGCTTCACCATTGAAAGTCAGACACATCCCAGCCCTCCCCCCACACTGACAGCCTGCTTCACCACCCCCAGTGTGTCTTCACCATACCAGGCCATTAGTTACCTGGGCCCTCTCTGCCCTCCACCACCCCGGCTCCTGGAAACCCTTTCAGTCCAGCACTTGTCATTCAAACTCTTCTTTTTAATGCCAAATTCCAGTGATTTGTCAACACTTAGTTGTGATGTAAACGTCTATTCCACTTCCCCTTCTGGTATCCCTCCTTCCTACTTTACCAAGTGTTACTCTGAGTCAGTCATCATAACTAGGGAAGCTCAGGTCCCTTCCCTGCTGCTGAGCCGGTGGGTGGCCCTCAGAGTGGCTCTGTGTCTTAGGCTACTTCACCAAGACATCCTGCATCTGCTCTTCCTTGGAGGCCAATCGACTTGGTATCTTCTCCTCGTTCTCCAAAGGCCCAACATGCCTCCACCTGCCCACCACAGCACCACCTCAGTCACTGATGGATGGCCTTGCTTCTGGATTCTCTGAGAAAACTCAAAAAGGCAAATATATTTCTCAGAACTCTACCCTGCCCTCGGCGGCCCTGGTGGCCTTCTGTCCCCTCCTGGCTACCACGCATGAATGTGCTTGTCATGTCCTGCTCCCGGCCGTCCCCCCTGCACACTGTACGTTCGCACTGCATGTGAGGGCCATTCTGCCTCTCTCCCCTTCTGTCTCCATCACCAGATTGTCTCCCTTGGTGGAGTCAATCCGTCTACACATAAGCACACTAAACAGAACAAACAACGGTACAGCCAGTCCCACCCCTCCTCACCGTCGTTCAGCAAAGCCTCGGCTAACTTTCCTCTTGGAAGCCACTCCAGCCAAGTTTCTACCCACACTGGTCTCAGGAACTCGTCTTGGTCCCAAATGATGACCACATCAGAACGACGACCTGTCCTGTGTCAACTGAGGTGTCCCCTCTCTTCCCAGATACTTTCTCTACCCAGTCCCTAGTAACTCCTGCCCGCTTCACTGGTTTTTGTTCTTATTTTGGTTTCTCCTGCTGCCCCTCTACCCCTAGATCCCTGTTCTTGGGACTCCTCTGGCCCTAGCACACACGCCAGCCCAGTGCCAGCCTTCCCTCTTAGCCCATGCATATCCACAGCTGCCCTGAGGTGTGTCAGCATTGGGGCCAGTCCTGATCTCTAGTGACGCATTACTAAAGCGCAGAGGGCTGAGGCCTGCCCCAGGTCCCACCCGCCTGGGATACTCGATCTTGATTCATGGGGTTCCTTGTGCCCACTGGCTGTGCCAGCCCTCACTCAGCTCTTGGCTAATCACTTCTGCTGCCTCTGTCCTATCTGGGGCCTCTCTAGCTCTAGTTATCAGAGTTGGGGGAGCTTACGAAGCATAGGCAACACTGTTGTGTTCTGCTGGTTTCTCGAAGGCAATAAACCCAGGCCATAAGTTCCTACCCTGGTACCTGTCTGCAAACTTCCCCCACCTCTGCTCACTACCCCAGCCCCCCCCCACCAGCCACTGGTGTAGCTTAGGGGCTTCCCAGAGACCAAACTGCACAGTGCCCCAAGAACACCTGTACAGCTTTCTCAGTCACTTCCTAGACTCCGCTAAAGAGTAACTTCACATTCAGGTAGAAGCTAACAACTCTCTCCCCATCCCACTCACTCCCAATCTTCCTTATTTTATTTTTTCCCTTTCATCTGTATCTATCTTCCTCATTTAAACATATGTTTCACATGACCTGGAATTTTCATTCATTTATGTTTTGTTCATTGGTCTTCATCTGTCATGCAGTAGATTCTCCATAAAATCTTTTTTGAATATTAAACATTTGAAGTTCTTAATTCACTTAAAATTGGGATTATTTACATGTAAGAGGATTACTTACTCTAAGATGGGAAGGGATAATTTGATCCTTAAATGTGGATTTCCAGTTTTTAATGTGAAATCAGGAGACCTGCTTGTTAACAACAGAAAACCAACCCTTTTGTCTTCCCAATGTTACTAATAAGAAGCTTTAGCTAGTGTAGGCAGTGTAAACTTACCTCGTCTTTGGTTATATGAAGGCTGGAAGCGTTAGACTATACTGCAGTTTATGAACATGTTTGTAAATACTTTTAAGGTACTTACAACAGCTGATTTCAGGATAACATACAAACAAGTTGAAACAAACTTAGAATAGTGCAAAGAATGACTTCATACTATAACCAATGCAGCCACAGGAGGGGTGACCATCACCAATTGAGTTCCTGATCCCTGCTGTCCTTCTTGCCAAGGGTGGCAGGTGAAGCTATGAATGGAAGATAATTTGGATAATAGGAGTCTACATTAGCTGACGGGAGCAGAGCTGGCCCATTTAAATGGTGAGGACATCCAACGTGATGCTCACCGTGGCTCAGCTGCTGTGAGACATACGCAACATCAGCACCACAGGCTGTGGACTGCTGATGGAGTTTAGACCTCTGCTGACTGAACTTTTTAGGAATTACTTTAGAATATTGCATATAAACTAGTGGAAAAGACACGTTAGTTGACTTTGAGGAAAATACACAATAAGTTACAAGCAGGGACATCTGCACATCTGGAGCCTCTGTACAGGGCACTGAGCTCTGAGTTGTGGAATTCAGAAAGGTACAAGGTTACCACACATACAGAGGAGGGAAGCTGTGCGGCAAAGAATCTTACTTATTTAGTTTATTATTGTCAAATGAAGACAATAATATTGGTCCAATTACATACAATATAAATGCTGGAAACTACCCAAATGAGATATTGAGAGAGAAACGTTTTGTAAACATAAATCTTCAGCATCCTAAGATTTAGATGGTGAAAAGGCCAAGCACAGCTTACAAGCCCATGTTACTTCTCATCATTTCATGAACCTGCTAATATGATATGTATCTCCCAGGACCTGGTACCTTCTTATTGGGACAAAAGCCCACCTTTCTGTGTCCACTGGTCCCCTCCGTAGCTGGCTCTTCCGCCTCTCTCTCTCCCTTCTCTGGAAGGTTCGCATTCTCATCCAGGAGTTTAACCGGGACAGGGGGTGGGGCTTCCTCTTCCAGGTCACTGGAAGTTCCCAGAATGTTCTCGGCATTCATGCTTTGGCGGCACTTTTTGTTCCTGTCCACAGAGGCATATTCCGCAAAGTCGGCTTTGCCCTCTGTGTGGGGCCCCTGTAGCTCCTTCAAGGCGGAAGTGGACTTGGACTTGCCATTCTGGCCTTTGTCCGTCATGTCCTTGATTTCCTTCACAGTTTCGTACAGGCAGTCCTCCACCATGTTCTCCTGGGAGGAGCTGTCCTTGAGCACCTCGTAGGGCCCCTCCACGCCAGGCCCGGAGTCCCCCTCCACAGCCCTGGCTGTGAGCATGGCGTCCACGGCATTCTCAGGGGGGATCCTGGGCAGCTCTCGGCTCTGGTGACTCTTGGGCTTTCCTGTGCTGTCCTGGGAGTCCAGAAGATCTGAAGCCGAGGTCTGAACTTCCTCATAATGCTGCATACAGGTTAAGGTGCTGTCTTCTGAAAGAACTGAAATGAGAGGGGTATTAGACCACCTCTTAATAACCAACACAGGGAACCACCATGTTAGACCATCAAACCTGTATTCAGCTGATGCTCAGGTGCAAACTGTGATGTCAATGCATATTGGTATTCCATTACATTTAAAGGGAAGCTATCTGTTGTACCTTTCCCAGTACAAGATTAAAAAATGGATGTGGGCTAGCTGTACTTTGACTCATGGTTCCTTTCATTACTTATTACTACCCTGCTGAGACCCAGTGCATGGGATTATACAGGATTAAAGCAACAGTCCATGTGGGGCCAATTGCTTAAAGAGGCTGAGGCAGAAAGACTGAAGTCAAGACTAGGCCGGGCAACTTATTTCAAAATAACATGTAAAGGGAGGCTGTGGCTATAACACAGTGGCGGAATGCTTGCCCAGTGCATGCACGGCCCTGAGTTCCACCCCCAGTACAGAAAACAGGTGACATCCCATGGGGCTGTAAGATACTAAAAACGGGGCATGTGTTACCCTAGTCTAATTGGCCTCTGCCTTTATGGAGGGAGTAGGTGATCTTCCTGCCCCTGTCCCCTTTCACAGGCCGCTTTCCTTTGGCAGTCATAACAGAGGCTGAGCAGTAATGATGGACCGTTAGGCCAGTGTCACAAAAGACCTGATGCACTGTCCCTTGTTTCCAGTGTGCCTCAGCCCCACATCCTTGCCCCACATAAGAAGTCCAACCAGGGTGTCCTTGGACTGCCTCTAAAATGGTAACCATGACACCTGGCAGTCAGTCCTTATCATATGAATTCTGAGTGTTCTCTAGATGCCAGAGACTGTCAACCAGGTAGAGACCCAGAGGTGAGCAGAACAGAATTCTCTCAGGATGCCCACATCATCTACAAGTTCTTACCCAAGTGAACCGCACTGTAGGGAGATTAGAGACGGTGGGCCAGCTTGGAGGTGCTTCTAAGGCCCTGCACCTAACCCACAAAACAGAACAGAACCCCAAACACTACCAACAAACCAAGAAAACCGAGACAAGAAACGGGGGGGGGGGGAGGGGCATCTGACTGATGGGCGGTGTCCAGAATACTGAGTGCCTGCCCTAGAATCATGTTGCCTGGTTCAAGTTACAGATCTTCAAACTCTGTGACAGTAAAACCTTGGTCAGGCTATTACGGGCTGTGTGACAAGGACTTGGCTTCCCAAAGTAGCCCATACCCCAATCTATGGAAACTACATGCTGTATCACATAGTCTCTCTCTCTCTCTCTCTCTCTCTCTCTCTCTCTCTCTCTCTCTCTCTCTCTCTCTCTCTCTCTCTCTCTCTCTCTCTCTCTCTGTGACCTTGAGATGAGTAGAGAAATTTGGGTTACCTGGACAAGTCCTATAGGGTGGAAGAGAAAGGCCAGCAGGAGATTCAAAGATTTAGGGAGCAGCCATAGATGAAGGGATGCAGGAGGATGCAGAAGGCAATAAGTGACTCTCCATTAGCTCCCAGCAGGAAGCATAAGCAGGCTTGCAGACACCTGGATGTTAATGCTGCTCATACTTGTGACCTTGACTGTTCATGAGCTTGAACCACTTACTCAAGGTCTGTGTAATTTGATGCAGCAGCCCTGGGCCAGAGTCCTCTCATTTTAAATGGGGGACTCAGTGCCACCTGTCAATGGGGAATTAATGACAGCACAGTGAGGAGCTTTCAAGGTAAGTGACACTACACACTTCTAACAGGGCTCCTGGTACCCAGCAGCCAACAACCAGCAACCAGGTGCCTTTCTGCAAATGAGACTTCTGCCGTCATTATGACGGCAAGAATACACTTCCCAGTTTCTGAGCTACTTAGTTTTTTTCTTTAATTAAAAAAATCATTATTTTACATGTCTGGGTGTTCTGTCTGCATGTATGTCTGTGCATCACTGGCGTGCCTAGTGCCTGTGGAGGCCAGAAGAGGGAGGACATCGGATCCCCTGGAACTGCGGTGATAGACCGTGGTGGAGCTGCCTGCCCTGTGGGTGCTGGGAATCAAACTCAAGTCCTCTGGGAGAGCAGCGGGGCTCTTGACCACTGAGTCATCAACTCAGCCCTGGGAGCTAGTCTGGACACCTAGTATTCCACGGTGGCGTCTCTGCAGAACTTACTGTCGCCATTGCTGAGCACCCCGTTCTGTTCACTGCTAGCCAGCGCATCTGTTGTCAGGCTGGTGGCAGAGTGGCTGAACATCTCCTTGTCTGAAGGCTGAAAAATCCAAATACATCATTTGGTAAGAATGTGCTGGGCACCAGAGGGGGACACCCCTAAAATCAAAGCAGCCAAAAACAAATCCCAGAATCCATGCATTAAATTAGGTGAGTTATCCAGTCCTGTAGAGAACTTAGCCACACTCGGGCGTCAAGTGGGGACCGTTCTCTCCAATGGAAAAGGCTAAGCTTATTTCTGAAGATGCAGTTCTGGACTCTCAGGGGGCACTGGGACTCTTCTAGGGCTCTAGGCAGCACATCTCATTGGTGTTACAAGTGGGCTACAGGTACATTGTGTTTCCTTAGCTCAAGGCAAAAGGAGACCACAGATTCTTGTGTGAGTCAGAACAGACACCAACAGGGACCAACGTCATCCTTGTAACGCAGGTGTTGCCAAACAAACAGCAAAGTATCACTGCTGTCTCCAGATAGAAGAAACTTAAATCTGACCAGCACAGTATTAATTTATGAGTCTATTTCAGAGCTAGTCTCTGGCTTTAGGCCTTACTGAAATGATCACTTACTGAAAAGTTGCTCTGCGAACCTTCCCTATCCTCAAAGACGCATACATAGGTACGTGGGAGGAAGAATGTTCCTCTGGGGTGGCTGTGGTGTGTCAACACTGCCAGGAACAACAGGCAGAGCTGTCTCAGGGGCAGAAACAAAGGGCTCCTGGAAGCACCTCTTCCAGCACCCAAACTGGTCACACAGAGTGACTCAAATGGGCATATGACAGACCCCATTGTTTTCACATTCATAGTTTCTGCTGCCCAAGACGCAGACTGGGTTCCAGGATATCACACGGGAAACTCTGATGTATTCTGCACAAAAGTCTTGGGTAGTTGGCCTCACAAACTTCCTGACTCTGATGGGAGATCAAGTAACTGACAGAAAATGGCCCTTGATGTGCGACAACACCCAAGTGTCCAGGAAGTCTGCTCTATTGGGCCAATGCCGCTCCCATCTGCTGCTCTATGATCTAGATGCTCATACTATGGAAGCAGTGTCCTTAGGGGACAGGACTGGGGACCAAGTCCCATATAACCTATCATGGCCAAGCTTCCAAAATCTATGTCTGAACTACTATTTCCCCCCTTAGCTTCTGTGAGAAACAACTCTGCAAACTGCGAATGATTTAGGAAACGCAGGAGCTGGGCGAGCAACAGTGTGTGTGCAGGCCTCACTGTCAGTGTAAGCAGACATCGTGTGAGTGCACACTCTTGTAGACACGGTCATGTTGTGAACGTGTGTGGAGGGGATCCTATGTGAGGAAGAAGCAGCTTTCTCCTCTGCTTACCTGCTGCACTTACCAGAAGCTGTTGGCCTCAGGCAGAACAGCAGGGACAGATCAAGAATGATGGTATTCACTTTGGTGCCTGCCTCAGAGTAGCTTGGGGGCTTGGTCCCACCCCCGGAACATTGGCTTCCTACCAGCTCCCAGGTGGCCTATTACTATGGTCCAGCCTTAGCTGAGAACCCTTGTTCTAGGAGGAAATGAGGGTAGAGGCGGGTGCCTTGCCTCAGCCACAACTCACTCTCCACTGGCCATGAGGAAGGTGGTAGACGGATAAGGACAGGGACCCATCCTTCCCCTCTGTTTCCCATCACACCAGTAACTGCTGGCAGACAATGGGGGAGAATGGGGTGTTGGGGAAGTCCTGTGATTATGTCAATAAAGCACTGTTGAGCCAATAGGGAACCAAGATAGGATGGACTAGGAGTCCAGGAGGACTCTGGGAAGGAGAAACACAGAAAGTCATGATGTAACGCCATGGGGTAGGAAGCCCGGAACTATTCTCCGGTAAGAGAAATACTTAGATTAACAATTATGGGGTAAATACTTAAGTCAGAGCTAGCCAGTAAGAAATAAGCAAGGCCAACAGCTTCATAATTAATATAGCCTCCTGTGTGTTTACTTGGGACTGATGCAGCTCTGGAACCAGGCTGGTGGGAAGGCTTTCTCTCAAGGAAATAGCTTCTCTTTACAATGGGGGACAATGTAAGATGTGAAAACGGAAGGCAGGTACTAAGGGTCAGGACAGCTGTGGTGCGTGAGGATAGTGATCTCACACAGAAGAGAGAGCACCCTGCCTGCCTGGGCCACAGACTCACTGGGAAGTGGGAGTTCAGGCAGTCTGGTGCCTCCTGCATGGACTCTGAACACATCTTCGGGGTGCAAATGATGCTGGATCCCAGGGAGTTAGATGCACATGATTCTTCTTGCTCTGAGCAGGAAGCAACTTCTCTCCCAGCACTGCCCTGGGGCTCAGGGGGACTCTTAACACAGTCCCATGGGTATAGCTGCTGAGGCTGCACTACCACTTGAGTCAAAGGACAGACATACGTGACACCCTCAGGCTGGTCCTCTCCCAAGTGGGTGGATCCTTGAGACTATTGGGCCCACTAAAATCTCATCAAATGCCAAGGATTGGGAAGGCAGCAAGGTTAGGCTCAACTATGGGCCCAGGCCCTGGTGAATGGTTGTATTTCCTCCCAAATATATGCCAAAATATAGTCAGTGCCACAGACTATAACTTCATCTGAAAACTGAGCCACTTCAAATAATACTAGTTAAGACTGAGGTTACATTAGAGTCTGGTGAGTTTGGTGTCTTTATGAAAGCAGGGGACTTGGCCCTAAGGACAGACATTCAGAGAGGGAGAGGTGACATGAGGGACAGAGAGGAAGGTTGTGGGAAGGTGGAGGCAAGGAGCGGGTGTGAACTAAGGAATTGAGCTTGGGAACAGGTCCAGCTCCGGAAGAACCTAATGTAACACCACCACAAACGCTGGACTCTGAGCAGAGAGACAGTAAATCTTATCTGAGTCATCCACTTTGTCCTTGAGACAGCCCTTTCAGACCAGAGGGGACAGAAGACGTCCCTGGGGCAGTCTGGAGCCCTGTGTAATCTTTCAGGCAGTCTGGGGACAGCCTTTACTTCGGAAGCTGGGGTGAGCACTGGCGAAGGGCACCAGCCCCCAGCCGTCACGCAGACTGCAGGAAGCCACCATTCATGTCCATTTACTCCCACAAGCCAGCTTCACTTGGGTCAAATGCCATGGATAGGTTCCGGCGGACAGCCAGGCAGCCAGCCACACCAAGGCTTACCACATTCATCAGGTTCTCATGGTCCCCACCGTGCTGCTTTGGCTTCTTCTCTCTGAAATGGCAAAGAAGACATCATCTTGATGACAGATGTGTCACTTCAAGTGAAGCAGGCACCGTGTTTCCCTAGACTAATGTTTATCTGGTTTTATGAACCAGGTTTATTTTGCTGAGAGAGAGGACACGAGTCACAGCTGACAGACAAGGCCGAGTCCCCTTCCTGCACACCCTTCCCCAGTGAGCAGAGGATCGAGTTACAGTGGGAGGCTGGCTGTGCCTACAGTGCTTAGGTGGCAGACAGGGCTTTTTATCTGTAGCAGATCCTAACAATGATCTCATCTTCTCCCTGAAGAGTCTGTGGAGTCACACGCTGTGAGGGATGAAAGTACGGGAGATTCTACATTGGCACGTCAGGAAGGTGACATGCTCTCATGATGAATCACATGTACCTCTAGTCTATGGAAATGTCCATTGAGTAAAAATAAAATGTGTTTTACTCAGAACAGTCTAAAGAAAGCCATCGCTAGTAAAGATGACATTTCTACCTATTATGAGGAGAGGGTGACACCTAGCGGGAGAAAGAGTCATTGCTGCAACAGAATCTTCAAGCTCATGAGAGCTGGAACTAGGGTCTCTCATGCTCTTGGAGGTCAGGCTGCACCTAGCTCAGAAGGCCTGGGTCCATGCTTGGCAGGGATTAGGAGAGGCTACATGGCCTCAATTTTACCTTCTTGACTGCTTTTAAGGTGGGATCCATATCAGACTTTTAAATATCATCACGTTTCTGTACAGACTGAGAGAATTGAGCGGGGAGCTGGCTAAGCTGGCCCCCAAGGGCTCTGGGCATTACCAGAAGGCTGCACACTTTGTACCATCCCTGACAGTTCTGAGCAATCATTCTTGCTTGCAAAGAACTCCACTTATCCCTGACCAAAGGGAGATAAGTGTAATGCTTAAAAAGAAAAAAAAAAAAAAGAATGTTTCCACATTCAATGAGTCTCTTGTAGGAAAACAAATCTGTTTCTTCATAAAGGGCAGTTCACCACACACATTTCTAATAATACATGAGCTCTCCCAAGCCACGTCATAGCAAGCATCCTCAGTAACCGCCAACTGTGGCAAAGGATTCAGTGCCACCCACTCAGATTTCAGTATGCCCAGCCAGAAAAAGAAAACACACAGAAAGGCTGCACTCGAAGAACAGCAAGAGTTCATTCTGAGATGTCTGAAACAGTAGGAGGGTTCTGCTTTGCTCGCCAGGAAAATCAGTAAGGATTTCCAATGGACTGGCAAAGAATGTCCTTGGAACCTTCGTACCAACCTGTGACCACGGGCCAGGGAGGCTCTTTAACACAAAGCCCGCCCCCCCCCCCGGGAGGGGGGGCACAGGGAATAGGTTTAGGTTCTAACCTGTCACAGCTGGAGCACAGGAAGATGAGGAAGGTGATGAGGAAGAACACAGCCACAGCAGCCAAACTTCCCCATAGAACCATCTGCATCTGCACGTGCCCACTGCTCAGGGTGCTTCCTGCAGGGCCCATGGCGGGGAGCTGGGTGGCCAGCTGGTGGAGGCGGTTCTTTACATGGGTCCAGAAGGCTTCGTCCTCCTGCAGAGAGAATGACACATCTGCCATCACTTTGCTGGAGAGGTGGAGCATTCCTGAGCAGTTTCTGAATGAAGACTGAGGAGTGGGTGAGGTGGGCAGATTGAAGGGAGACGGCGAGAAGGAATGGGAGGAGAGGAACTGTGGTTGGTATGTAAAACCAATTTAAAAGTGATGAATAATAATAATATATATGTAAACATATACCAATTTAAAATACAAAAAATACTGAAGACTGCTTATATTGGGAAGTATATGGAGTAAGGGGAACTCTCCTCCACTGCTAGTGACAGTGTGAACTTGTACAGCCATTTCGGAATATGGCAGTTTCTCAGAAAACTGGGAATTAGTCTACCTCAAGACCCATTCTTGGTCATATACCCAAAGGATGCTCTAACATACCACAAGGACACTTGTTCAACTATGTTCAATTGTAAGAGCCAGAACCTGGAAACAAACTAGATGCTCCTCAACCAAAGAATGAATAAAGAAAGTGTGGTACATTTGCCAAAAAAAAAAAAAAAAGAATTTAAAACCTGAAAGAACCCCAAGCTCAAGCCCAAATTTTGAGTGATGATGTGCTGCCACACCCAAAACTTCTGAACACAACATCAAATGCACATGTACTGAAACTGTTTGTATATGCAACGAGTATGGAATGCTTGGGTTTTTTCTCTTGGCTAGCTATATTTCAGGATCTGGAAAATCTCTAGCACTTCTGTTCATGAGCATTCCAAGTAAGAAATGCACAGTCAACTGGGTGGTGGCACAGGCCTTTAATCCCAGTACTCAGGAGGCGGAGGCAGGTGAACCTCTGGGAGTTGGAGGGCAGCTCTAGTCTCCAGAGGAAGTTCTAAGACATCCAGGGCTACATAGAGAAACCCTGTCTCGAAAACAAAACAAAACAAAACAAACAACCCACATACAAAAAGCAAAAAGCAAGCAAACAAACAAAAAAAAACCCCACAACCCTCTCCCAAAACCAAAAAAAGAAATACACAGGCTCAGAGCAGTTGGGGTGATGTGTGCAGGAGGCAGGCATGCTCAGAAACCTGACTCTGTTTAAGTCTGTGGCCAGATGCTAGTGCTCCTCGTGTGAGATTTAAATTGGGAAATGCACCAGTGCTAGCAGACCATCTGAAGCAACTGGTGCTTTATCATCTTAATATTTCTGGAAGATGGACTTGTTTCCAGGGAGGTTCTTAAAGTCTTCAATAAAGACTTCAAACATCCTAAGGCAAGGAAACATGTTTATTTGGACCTAATACATCTTTATCCAGGGTACTATAAAATGTTTGGTATGCATGTATGTAATATATACATACATATACATCTTTACATTTTGTATGAATTTTTATTCATCTAGGTGTGTGTGTGTGTGTGTGTGTGTGTGTCTGTGTGTGTAGGTGTACATGTCCCATGGGACAGATGTGGTGGCCATAATACAACTTGCAAGAGTCAGTTCTCTCCTACCTTGTGGGTCCTGGGGATAGAACTCAGGTTGTCAGGCTTGGTGCCAAGTGCCTTTACCTCTGAGCCATCTTGCCAGTGCCCTATACACATATTTGCAAAGATGCTACTTTCCTCCTGTGCCTGCTGCCACTGCCTATCTCCCTAGCTCCTAAAGCCCATTTTTACCTTAGCTTATGGTCAGTGTGGCCCACTGACCACAGTGTCTGCCTGCACACTGGCAGATGGCTGTTCACTGAGGCATGCCTTACTTTCTAGCAGGAGTCTTCACTGAGTTGCTTCTGGGTACCTAGTAATTCATTTTCAAAAAAGGCTGGAAGCTCATGCTGGGGACACTCTCTCAGTAGAAAGGAAGATGGATTCGTGAAGAACTACAAAGTAGGCACAAGACCTGTACACAGCAGGTCCCAGGAAGGCCACCAGATGCTTCAGCATTCATTGCCACCACCACTCAGTGGGAGGCACTGTTCATCCCCACTTTACAGAGCAGGAAGTTGGCCCAAGCAGGGAAAGAACTTGGGTCAAGTGTCCTAGGATGATGAGTCCGGCTGCCTGGGCTCTACATAGCCATGCTCTTGTCCACTGAGGACCCCCCGGCTCACCTAGGGCAGCCCTTGTCCCTGCCCTAATGCTTCTGAGAATGCCCAGGTACTGTTGTCGGGTATTTCAGTATTAGAGGCACACTGAAAACAGGAGCGGCCGAATCCCGCAGAAGGACCTAGAGGCAGAACAAAGCAGTCAGCATCATTGACCACCATTCCTGTCTTGCCCCTCAACCCTCCCGTAGAAAGGTGACTGCCAGGGGCTCTTCTAGTCCATCTTTCCCTCTTCTAGTCCCCTGATGTTCTGCCTCCAGACCTTTCCTGCCACCAAATCCCCCAGAGGGACCTGGAGGCAAAACAAAGCAGCAATTATCATCGGCGGCCATTCCTGTCTTGTCCTTCCACCCTCTGGTAGAGAAAGAGGAGAGAAGAGAGCCTTGAACCCATACCCCCCCAGGAGAGGGAGAGACCCCACCCATACCCACTAGAAGAAGTTATGGGAAGATGACAGTATAAGAACACATCCAACAACAGAAAGACTTATATGACATCACCAGAGTCTAGGGACTCTACACTAACAAGACCTGAACATCCCAACGCAGATGAAACAGAAGAGAATGACCTTAAAAACAACTTCATGAAAATCATAGAGGCCCTCAAAGAGGATATGAGAAAATCCCTTAAAGAAATGGAAGAAAAAACAAACAAAAATGCAAGAAATCAACAAATTTCTTAATGAAAGGAAAACCAAGAAAAAAATCAAACAGATTAAGGAAGCAATTCAAACAGTTCAAGACCTGAAAACTGAAATAGAGACAATAAAGAAAACACAAACTGAGGGAATGCTGGAAATAGACAAGCTGGGTAAATGATCAGGAACTACAGATGCAAGCATAACCAACATAATACAAGAGATGGAAGACAGATTCTCAGGTGCTAAAGATAAACTAGAGGAAATAGATTCATCCACCAAAGAAAATCTTAAATTCAACATATTCTTAACACAAAATATCCAGGAAATATGGGGCACCATCAAAAGACCAAACCTAAGGATAATAGGTATAGAAGAAGGCAAAAGAGCCCAGCTCAAAGATGCAGAAAACGTATTTAACAAAATCATAGAAGAAAACTTCCCCAACCTGAAGGACATGCCTATGAAAGTACAAGAAGCTTATCAAACACCAAATAGACTGGACCAAAAAAAAAGTTCCCTCTCCACATAGTAATCAAAACACCAAACATACAGAATAAAGAAAGAATATTAAGAGCAGCTAAGGAAAAAGGCCAAGTAGCATATAAAGGCAGACCTATCAGAATTATACCTGACTTCTCCATGGAAACTCTGAAAGCCAGAAGGTCCTGGATAGATGTTCTACCAACACTAAGAGACCATGAATGCCAGTCCAGACTACTATACCCAGCAAAACTCTCAATCACTATAGATGGAGAAAACAAGATATTCCATGACAAAATCAGGTTTACCCAATACATATCCACAAATGCAACCCTACAGAAAGTTCTGGAAGGAAAACTCCAACCTAAGGAAGTTAACTACACTCACAAAAACATAGACAATAGATAATCTTACTTTACCAAAGGCCAGAAATAGGGGAAAAACTCACACACAATACCACCACCACCACCAAATCCAAAACAAACAAGAATCAACAATCAATGATTATTAATATCCCTCAAATTAACAGTTTTAACTCACCTATAAAAAGACACAGGCTAACAGAATGGATACGAAAACAGATCCATCCTTCTGCTGCATACAAGAAACACACCTCACCTTCAAAGACAGATGTTACCTCAGAGTTAAGGGTTGGGAAAAGATTTTCCAATCAAATGTCCTTAATAAGCAAGCAGGTGTAGCTATCCTAATATCTAACAAATTAGACTTCAAACTTAAATTAATAAAAAGAGATGAAGAAGATCATTTCATATTCTTCACAGATGAAGTCTCAATTCTGAACATCTATGCACCAAATAAAAGGTACCCATGTTCATAAAAGAAACATTATTAAAATTCAAATCACACACTTAATAGTGGGAGACTTCAACACCCCACTCTCACCACTGGACAGGACTCCCTGACAGAAACTTAACAAAGAAACAAATGAACTAACAGAAGTTATGACCCAGTTGGGTTTAACAGACCTCTATAGAATATTCCATCCATACACAAAAGAATATACCTTCTTCTCAACACCACATGGAACCTTCTCTAAAATTGACCACATACTCCACAATAAAGCAAACCTCAACAGATACAAAAATTTGGAATAACCTCTTGTATCTTATTGAACCATCATGGCTTAAAATTAGAATTCAACAACAACACAAACTGGAGAAACCCCACAACTCATGGAAATTGAACAATGCTCAACTACATCATTCCTGGGTAAAGGAAGACATAGAGAAATCAAAGACTTCCTAGAATTCAATGAAAATGAAGGCACAACATACCCAAACTTATGGGACACTTTGAAAGCAGTTCTAAGAGGAAAGTTCATAGCACTAAGTGTCCACATGAAGAAACTGGAAGATAGCCACACTAGAGAATTAACAGCACAACTGAAAGCTCCAGAACAAAAAGAAGCAAAATCACCCAGGAGGAGTAGATGCCAGGAAATAATCAAATTGAGAGCTGAAATCAATGAAGTAGAAACAAGGAAAACAATACAAAGAATCAATGAAACAAAGAGTTGGCTCTTTGAGAAAATCAACAAGATAGACAAACCTTTATCCAATCTAAACAAAAGGCAGAGAGAGAACATGCAAATTAACAAAATCAGAAATGAAAAGGGGGACATAGCAACAGACTGGGGAAATCCAGAGAGTCATCAGGTCATACTTTGAAAAGCTGTACTCCACAAAATTTAAGGGAAATGGACAGTTTTCTGGATAATAATCATTTACCAAAGTTAAATCAAGAACAGATAAGCTAACAAAATAGAAGCAGTCATCAAAAGTCTTCCAATAAAAAAAAGTCCATCCAGGGCCAGATGGTTTCAGGTCAGAATTCTACCGGAAATTCAAAGAAGCGCTAATACCAATACTTCTGAATTGTTCCACACAATAGAAGCAGAAGGATCTTTGCCAAACTCTTTTATGAGACTACAATTACCTTGGTACCCAAACCACACAAAGACACAACTAAGACAGAGAACCACAGACTGGTCCTCCCTCATGAACAGTGATGCAAAAATACTCAATAAAATACTGGCAAATCGAATCCAAGAACACATCAGAAAAATTATCAGCCATGATCAAGTAGGCTGCATTCCAGGTATGTATGCAGGGATGGTTCAATATATAAAAATCCATCAATGTAATCCACCATATAAACAATTTGAAAAGGAAAAACCATATGATCATCTCACTAGATGCTGAAAAAAAACCCTTTGATAAAATTCAACACCCCTTCATGATAAAGGTCTCAGAGAGATAAGAGATAACAGGAACATACCTAAAGGCAATATACAGCAAACTGATTGACAGCCAACATCAAACTAAATGGAGAGAAACTCAGCGCAATTCCTCTAAAATCAGGAACAAGACAAGGTTGTCCACTCTCTCCATATCTCTTCAATATTATACTTGAAGTTCTTGCTAGAGCAATAAGACAACAAAAGGAGATCAAGGGGATACAAATTGAAATGAAAGAAGTAAAACTTTCACTATTTGCAGATGATATGATAGTCTACATAAGTGACCCGAAGAATTCTATCAGGAACTCCTACAGTTGATAAACACTTTCAGCAAAGTGGCAGGATACAAGATTTACTAAAAAAAATCAGTAGTCCTACTATATATAGACAATAAAGGGGCTAAGAAAGAAATCAGAGAAACATTACCCTTTACAATTGCCACAAACAACAGAAAATATCTTGGGGGTAACTCTAACCAAACAGGTGAAAGACCCGTATGACAAGAACTTTGAGTCTTTAAAGAAAGAAATTAAAGAATATACCAGAAAATGGAAAGCTCTTCCATGCTCTTGGATAGATAGGATCAACATAGTAAAAATTGCAATCATATCACAAACAATCTACAGATTCAATGCAATTCCTATCAAAATCCCAGCACAATTCTTCACAGACCTTGAAAGGACAATTCTCAACTTTATATGGAAAAACAAAAGACCTAGGATAGCCAAAACAACCCTGTACAATAAAGGAACATCAGGAGGCATCACCATCCCTGACTTCAAGCTCTACAACAGTGCTATAGGAATGAAAACAGCTTAATATTGGCACAAAAATAGACAGGTAGAAACAATGGAATCGAATTGAAGACTCTGATATTAACCCACACACCTATGAACACCTGATAATTGACAAAGAAGCTAAAACTATACAACGGAAAAAAGAAAGCATCTTCAACAAATGGTGCTGGCATAACTGGATGTGGACATGTAGAAGATTGCAGATAGGTCCAAATGGATCAAGGACTCCAACATAAATCCAGCCACACTGAACCTCTTAGAAGAGAGTGTAGGATGTACCCTTTAATGAATTGACACAGAAGACCACTTCCTGAACATAATGCCAGTAGCTCAGACACTGAGATCGACAATTAATAAATGGGACTTCCTGAAACTGAGAAGCTTCTGTAAGGCAAAAGACACAGTCAACAAGACTAAACAATACCCACAGAATGGGGAAATATCTTCACCAATCCCACAACAGACAGAGGGCTGATTTCTAAAATATACAAAGAGCTTTAGAAGCTAGTCATCAAAACACCAAATAATTCAACTAAAAAGTTGGGTACAGAACTAAATAGAGAATTCTCAATAGAGGATCCTAAAATGGCTGAAAGACACTTAAGAAAGGGCTCAAATTCCTTAGCCATCAGGGGAATGCAAATCAAAACAACTCTGAGATATCATCTTAAACATATCAGAATGGCTACAATAAAAAACACCAATGACAGTTTATGCTGGAGAGGATATGGAGAAAGGGGAATGCTTCTCCATTGTTGATGGAGAGCAAACTTGGCGGTTTCTCCAGAAAATGGAAACCAGTCTACCTCAAGATCCAGCAAATCCACTCTTACGCATATACCCAAAGGATGCACATTCATACAACAAGGGCATCTGTTCAACTATGTTCATAGCAGTATTATTTGTAATAACCAGAACCTGGAAGCAACCTAGATGCCCCTCAGCCAAAGAATGGATACAGAAAATGTGGTACATTTACACAATAGAGTATTACTCAATGTAAAAAAACAATCTTGAAATTTGCAGGCAAATGGATGGAACTAGAAGATAGTGAGTTAATTCAGTCACAGAAAGACAAACATGGTATGTACTTGCTCATATATGGATTCTTGACATAGTGAAAAGGATTACCAGCCTACAGTCCATATCTCTAGAGAAGCTAGGAAACAAGGAGGACCATAATAAATACATACACCATCCCCCAGTGAGGCAGAAAGGGACAAGAGTCCTTGAACAAATGGGGAGTATGGGGGGAGGTGGGAGGGAGGCAGGGAAGAGAAGAGAAGAGAAGAGAAGGGGGGAGGTGAACATCAGGGACCAGGAGGATCGAGTGGGGAGAGGAATAGAGGAGAGTAAGAAAAGAGACACATCAAAAGAGGGAGCTACAATAGGTTTAAAGAGAAATCTGGCCTGAGGGAATTATACAGAGATCCAAAAGGATGACCCCAGGTAGGACCCTAAGCAATAGTGGAGAGGCTACCTTAAATGTCCATCCCCTATAATGAGAATGATGACTACTTTAAATGCCATCCTAGAGCCTTCATCCAGTAGCTGATGGAAACAGAAGCAGAGATTCATAGCCAAGCACTGAGCCAAACTCCTGGAATCCAGTTTCAGAGAGGGAGGAGTGATGAACAAAGGGTTCAAGACCACACTGGGAAAACCCACAGAAACAGCTGACCTGAGCAAATGGGAACTCATGGACTCCAGTCTGACATCTGGGGAACCAACATAGGACCAAACCAGGCCCCCTGAATGTGGATACACTGGGCAGTCTATGGGGCCTCTATCAGTGGAACCAGGATGTATCCCTAGTGCATGAAAGGGTTTCGGGAGCCCATTTCCCATGGAGGGATACTCTCTTAGCCTAGTTACACAGGAGTGGACCTAGACCCTGCCCCAAATGACTTGACAGATTTCAATGATCCCTCATGGAAAGCCTCACCCTCCCTGGGGAGTGGATGGGGGATGGGATGGGGAGTCGTTGGGGTGTATGGTAGGATGGGAAGGAGAGGGAACTGGGATTGATATGTAAAATAAGATTGTCTCTAATTTAAATAAAATTTACACACACATATGTTAAAAAAAAGAAAACAGAGGAGCAGGCAAGGCCAATGTTGGCTGTGGTAAGAGAGGTCTTATTTAAACAACATTGATTTGGTTAGTTCCAGAACATTCTGATGAAAAGGAACAGCTTGGAATTGATGCTCAAATAAGCAGTACAGCAAGAAAACATAACTTCTGTACTAGGATGATGAATTATAAGCCATGTTTTTCTTATAAAGGACCACTAATGTTTACATTTTCATTTGATTCAGCGATAGCACTGTACTGCAGCCCTCGCTAAGTCTACACACGCTGGCTCCTCTATATCTTAGCAAGAAATCAGAGTATAACCAAGAAAATCCGGTTTCCCTGTCTGAGTCCGCACGGACACACTTCTAATGCTCTATGAATGCATCCATTAGAACTTGGGTGATACACAACTTTTCTCTGGTTACATAGTATGCCCATAAACAGCCCAGGCTCAAAGTAATACACGGACAGATTGCTTCTACACGAATAAAATAACCATCACATTTCAGAGTACAAAGACTAATTCTCTTTAAATTGTGTCTGCAAACTGCCATTGTAGTAGGTTTCTAAAATACACATGAGAAAAAAAAAACCATTTAAATCATGGTGACCTATGAAGTGACTTTTATGTGTAGGTGTAAGCCTTGAAATGCTTTAGGAAGCACAGACGAAGACCCCTCTCATGCACACACACAGTTTTGTTTCTTCTTTCACACATCTGCTTAATCAATGCTCTTTATAACTGGTACAATTAATTCTTAGAAGAGAGCTGGCTGTGTGAGTTGCTCAGAGGCACACCAGCAGCCAGCAGGGGCTCTCCTGTATCCTCTGTCCCCGTGCCTCTCTCTGTCCCTGAACGTGTCTCCTCTCTCCTCTCCCTTGTTCCCCTAACAGGAGGGGCTGGTCAGATACACTGAAAAATGTGGGGTGTCATCCTAGCAGGACAGCCCAGGGAGGGAGAGAAAGGGGAGTTGTTACATGCTACTGAATAAAAGATGGACCTCACAGAAAATGTGTCCAAACTCCTGGCTTACCCCTTCAATTAGAACCCCACGAAAAGCCTTGGGAAGAACCCCCCCCCGTTCTCACCCTGCACCATGAAAAGAATGACTGTCCGGCACACTTACCCAGCGAGTCAGGCTAAGATCTCAAAGGCTCAGCTGTTGGACTACTTCTACCGCAGTGGCTCTTAGTGCTACTTTGCCGGAGGATGGAGGTTACGGCAGGAGTCTGGGAAGAGCCGTGAGAGAAAAGGTAGCAGCAGTGGCCTCTACAAGTCCCTGGAGGGTCTTGGCATCAAGGATGTGCGTGGGGGCACATGGTGCTGGGGCAGGTGGGCCCCTTCAACCTCTGACCTCTGGAGTGCGTTTATTCCTAGCATAGAGATTTTATACTCTTTTGTCTCCATCACTTTCTAGATCTGCCCCCATAATTCTGCCACCCATTGCTTCCCTGGATACTACGCCGTGAAATTCACAGGCTCCTCTACCAACGTGTGTAGACGCACTGATTCTTCCTTTATGTGTAAATGAAATGCCCCTTTTCTTGTGTGAATGCTATGCCCATGCCGTGTGTGTGTGTGTGTGTGTGTGTGTGTGTGTGTGTATTTGTGTACAATGTGACTTTTGTGCTCTCTGCCTTCTAGGCAGGGATGGAGGATGGGGTCCTTGAGTAAAGTGTGTGTTACATCTCTGGGAAAGATTCATCAAGAATAGCTGATTTCAGAGGCTGGGTATGGTGGTGTATGCCTCTAATTTCAGCACTCGGAAGACAGAGACAGGTGGATGGATCTCCATGAGTTTGAGGTCAGCCTGGTCCACATAGTGAAATCCAGGACAGCCAGGGCTATGTAGAGAGACCCTGTCTCAAAACAAACAAAAACAAAAAAGAATAGCTGATTTGGGACTGTACATGTAAATATTTAAAAAATTATTTGACACCAAGCACAGGAGTCCTATCTACCTTTACTGTACCTTAACTGACATTTACTATGACACCTTTACACCTTCCAGCTGGAGAAGCAGCTGACAATTGTGCATGGGCCTTTTTGCTCTATGGTGTGATTCATTATTGGATACACTGATGGTGACAAGTTTCAGACAGTTACGTGATTAAAAACACGTTGCATTACTGGACAGAGGCAGTGGGCTTTCCCTTATCCCCCTATGTCGGTTCTGGGGAACTATAGACATCCATCTCCTTGACTAAGCAAGGTCAGTACTTAAGTTTATAAAACTTCTGCTGGGAATTCATTCAGAAGTGGGTCTACTCACTTCTTTTTATGTAACATACACTGGTCTCCATCTGGCTACGTTGCCAAGGATGGCCTTGAATTCTTCCTGTTTCTACTACTCCTGTCTCCAGATTGCTGGATTACATGTATATATCACCACAGCAATCTTTCTTATTTCGTGCTGAAAGCTTCACAATCTTTTATCGTCCTGTCAAATACATAGGTTCTACCATTTCAATGATGAGTAAATACATCCTTAGTAAAACTATTGGCCTTTAAAGCAAATGCCATTAGGAACCACAAGGTGGCAGTATAATTCTAGTTTCAGCGCCAGTGAACAGGCTTGATTCTCACAGAGGTCTTGAGTAATTCTGGTGTGTGTCATGCTTGGCGTTTTAATTGTCTTCATTAGCTTGGATTATCAGCCACCCAAATCAATTCCAACAGGAAAAAAGCAAACACCAGACAAAATTAATGAAAGGGACAGAGTCCATGGCAGCTGTTTACCTCTCTAGCCAAACACACTTAACAGGTGCTCTGATCACGGCCAGTCATATAATAACACTCAGCAAGGCTGTGATGGCCAGCCGGGCTACATTATCTAGGACGACACTTGCAGCTCCTTTGAAGCAGGTTTGGTAGTAATGATAGTTGCTTCTGTTTCACAGCTGTCCTGTGTGGGCCTGTAATTAAGGATGATGGAAACTATCTCTGCTGATGATTCCTCTCCTAGGGACTAAGGAGGGCAGAGTCGCAAGCCCCATGGGAATGACTCCTGCCTGGTCATGTGGGAAAAGGACACATTATGGGCTACAAATGAACCAGACAAGTTAGCAGTCATGAGCAGTCATGTTCTCAGGTGCACCCTGTCCTGAATACAGTGATGGGTTTGGGGACCAAGGGTAAATGAACCCAGGACAGAATCCTCATGTCCTATGTCCTACTTTCACTTTTGTCACTGTGATAAAATATCATGATGGTGACAACAACCACCAGCATCACCAGCAACATTCCGTCAAGAGCAGAGAGAAATAAACACATACAGTCCTGCTTGCTTCCCCTCTTATATAGTTTGGGCCCCCTTATGAGAGAATAGTGCCACCCACAGTGGGCTGGGTCTTCCTATATGAATTAACAATCAAAACAATGCCCCCACAGGCAAGCCTGATCTAGACAACCCCTCAATTAAGACAGTCTTCCCAGGACAGTCTAGGTTGTATTACATGGATGGTTGGACATGAACCACCACACCCCTGAGAGAGTTTTAGCTCAAGTGTGTACATTTGGTTGGACATCTTTTCAGACTGAAGGGACTCTGACAGACACAGGCCAGGCTGCTAAGCAACAGCGTGGAGCAGGTCTGTGGCATATGCTTGAATCATAGAAGCAAATGCTCTGTTCCACTGTGGTGAGCTGTGAAGGCTTTGGTCTTTCTACATAGACATCCAAAGATCAGGAGGTGGTAAGAGACTCTGGGCCAAGGTGCCCTCTGGTACGGTTTCCTGAGATGTCACTCACTGCAGAGCGATGTGTTGATATTTCTTCCTGCTGCAACCCGAGAAACACATTACCCAGAAAGTCTCACAAAGGGACAGATACTAAGGCTCACTGTTCCCAGGAGAGGGGCAAGTTAAAAAACCTTATGCCATCGTTCAGCATGGCGTGGCTACTTCTCCAGACCAGGGACCCTGACCTAGCCGGGCCGCAGGAAAGCAGACCCTGCTGGGGAACACTGAGCATGCCTGACACGTGTTTATTGGAGCCTAGCTGTTTTGCTCCAGGTCCACAAATGCTAAGAGGTAAGGCAGGGTTTGATGGGCGGGGAGACTGTTATGACTGCTTTTCCTTGTTATGATCTGATGTGGATTTGGGGAGGAGGGCAGGAAAAGAGGAGGACGGGGGAGAGAGGAGGATTTGTTATTTCTAGCAGCCTGTGTTGTCTGCGGTTCAGACAGAGCTCCGAGATTCACTTGCCTGCATTTGGGTCAAGGTGACATAGTCTACGCTGACTGGAGGGTAGCAGGTGAAGAGGCTTTGTCTGGCTTCTGGGCCATGTGTGGGATGGTTCAGGAGGCTTGCAGCCGGGGCTTTGGGAACCCTTTCTTTTTGCTGCGTGCTTGCTTACTCGACCTAACTGAAAATGCCTTTGCCCCACATCCCTTTAAAACCGCAGCATCTCCAGGATCTTAACAATAGGTTCTGGACAGGAAGCTGTCCTGCTAGCTGCCTCTGTGGGAAGACGAGCACGGAGATTCTCAAAATGCAAGTGTAGCTTCTGTGTAAGTGAGAGAGGCAGGGAGAGCGAGAAGGGAGCCTGTTGGACAGCTTAAGAAGGCCCCGTGTGTCCTGAGGCCAAACCATCACTTGGGGCCGAGCAGAGTGGATCATCCTGGTGACATCCTTGTTGCTCTACACACATTGCCACCCCCTGGGCAGGCCTCTCAGTGCTGGCAACAGCCTAGTGTCTCTCCATCCCTCTCACAGACAACCGTCTCACGTCTCTCCTCCCTTGGACGGAGCTGGAGGCTACTCTTCTCAAAGGCCAAGTGTCTGCAGCACATTTGCAGCCGAATCTGTGATGACATCCTGCCCATCATCAGGGTCATTCCTCTGAACATTTCCCTACGTGCAAAGCCCTCTCGCCCTCCACGTTCAGTTAAGGAATTCCCCTGCCTACCATTACTCAAGACTGCAGTGACAAAGCACTCCCGTGTCTCTTCCATGGGCCTCTCTGGGAGTCAGCTGTTGCCCCAGTGTGTGTCACACAGAGGGCATTTAGACTACATCTTCAGAAGGAAGAGCTCTGAGGCGGTAGAGCCTCAGGCCTTCTGAGCAGTCCTTGACAACAGATGCATTTCTGCAACAAGTTTCATCTCTTGGTTTTCAGGCTGGCTTTCTATGAGGATGCAGGAGTGACATAGGTCTGCCTGCCGGACCATCAGGATAGAGCAAGCTGATTGCCACAGTGCTCCTCTGTACCTAGCCCTAGTTGCCTCTCCCCAGGCTCCTCAGGACCCTGAGGAGGTGGTTATGCACCAGTCATAACTCCCAGCCTTGAAATAAAGTGCACCAGAACCTTAAACAAGTCTACACTGCATACCAGCCTCTTTCCCTATGATTATAACATTTTTATATTTAATGTGTTTCTATGTGAGTTTGTGTCATAGAGGCCAGGGGTGTCAGATACCCTAGAGTGGAATCACAGGGATTGTGGGCCACCTGATGTGGACACTAGGGACTGAACTTGGGTCCTTTGGAAGAGTGCTGTGTGCTCTTAGCTACTGAACCATCTTTCCAGCCCATGTAGACATGTTAGATTTAATCCTGTGGGCCTCTGCTGTGGGTGCCACTGAGTCTATCTTATACATGCGGGACTGATGCACCTGTTAACTGCCTTGTCAGTGGAAGGGCTCCTACTCTCAGCAGCATGAGGGACCCTCAGAGGCCACCCAGAGGGGTGTTGTCCCCGGGTACTCATACCCATGAGGCACAGTGGTGACGACCAGGGAGCTACACCACGCATTCCCCTGGAGCTCTGAGTCCCCGTCATGACTAGTCTGCTCACCGCTCATTCTTATGTTGTGTTAATCACAGGCTGCCTTTCCACGGAAGCCAGAGCCCTTTGCGGGCCGTGTGCAGCAGCTAGGCTGTGATGGATGCGGTGGTCACATGTAGATGCTTCCAGGTCTACTTACTGTCACACTCAGCTGAGCATCATTTGGCTCCCTCTTCATTTGGCTTCTGAGGCTCACTGACTCAGCCTTTGTTTTCAGAGAAATGCGAGACAACAAAAACTTCAGCTTCTTTTGGAAAAAATGAACTCTTGGACATAAATAGCTCCCAGTGAAACCCTCCTCTTACAGGTCACCATGTTTAGAGGCTGAGATTTGTAGCTAAGGAGATGGCCCAGTCAGTAAAGGGCTTGATGTACAAGTTATGAGGACCTGCGTTTGAATCCCCGGTAATGATGTAAATGTTGGGCTTGGTGGTGCATGTC